GGTTTGGTCCGATAATTCCTAATTTTGATTAATTTACGTATGAATCTGAAATCACTTGCCATTCTAATCACAAAATGCCACGAATCTGGCTGTGATTTCTGTTTGTGTTTCTATGTTACTTTTGAGATTCTTTAATGCTTATAACAAAAATAAAAGGAAGATAAATTAAACAAAATTAAAAATAAAATCGAAAACAAAAAATAAACAAATGAACTATTGCTTTACTGGTTCGCGTAAACAAATTCAGCGTGGAAAAAAAATCTTACTCAATGTTCGATCGGACGGCGATAAACTTTCCTTGCGCCACTAGAACTGAATTCTAAATGTGAAACACTCACAGATCTGTGTAGTCTATAATCTGGCATGACTCATACTGCATTAATTTCACTTTTGTTTCATAAATTTTAAAAAACTGAAGATCGCTAAATGGGAACAGACTTCGAGCGGTTGAAATGGATGAGTTCAGCGAAGACAAATTTGCATGTTCTGCCGTAGTGGCAGCTCAAAAACTGTTGAACTTTTTTGTCAATCTTTGAAACTTTTTAAACAAATTCATTTAATTTTAACTATGCTCTTTTGTTTTATAGATACAATTACAAAATATTTAGGCAATGCCACATCAAAGTGTCAACTCTTGACATTTTAAACAATTTCTTGACTAATTCGCACCCACCGACCCAGCACTCATTGCCTTCCCTATCCAAAAGCTTAGATAGTGAAATCATTTTGTGTATAACGCTCTCTGGCACAATGTCTTCTCGGTACCTTTAATGGGATCACCTGCTGCACATTCCAAATACATTTATCATTTCCCATGCTCTTCTGTGCTTATACTGTACCTCTGATTCTGTATGGTACAATTTGTCTATTCGAAACTATTTTTTACCAAGCACATTTGAAACAATGTTCCGACTGTTTCGGGTCTCCTCCGCCCCTACCATCATCAGTTGCCGCCCGGCTGGTATATTTTCAAGAAATCTTTGGCTTTTATTGCTCAAAATAAAATTCTGAAATAACAAAATAAAATTAATAAGAAAACATAACGCGTCAGTGGTCATGATGATGCCTCTACGTAATGGTCTATTAAGCAACTGTACACTTGATCATTAATTGTTGCTGTAGCGAATGTGGCTTTTATGGATTTTTATGAGGAAAATTTATTGCAAGCAAACTCAACTCGATGTT